GCGCACATCACCATCGTGTGTCGTGGGTCGTGATCCTCGGAATCCCAAGCAGGTCAATGGCCGGCCTCTCCCTCTCCCTCCCCCTTATGTTTGCTTATTTGCTTCCTACGTAAAAATAACGTATAATAGACAACATTTATTTACAATTTGACAATATTTAAGGCTATTCGTTAACAATGATAAGTGCATTATGATTAAAGAAGGCTTTTCAATTTATTTTGGGGTCGGCAATTTGTAACAGTACTAAGAGTTTTTGTTGGTTTCTTGCCTTGCCGACTGTCTGATGCCAACCTCTCTTAAGAATATAACCATTTTCAAAAAGAGCATAGGAAAAAAGTAAATTGGGTAAAAAACGGATAGGATACAACTGAGGACTGACTGACTGAGGCTGCAATAATAGTCGAAACAAACGAACTCAAATTCTCTTTATTTCATAAAAATTTCAAAATTGTTTGAAATCGTCTTTTATGTAGACTCTAAAGTCTAAATTTTCATCAACACACACAAAAGCAACAATCTCTGTTTTGTCAAATAGTAAGCAAATAAATTTAACAAAAATCAAACCCATACAAAATCTATGATATGCCTGTGCCGATCTACAACCGCCCGTTTCCAAGGGGTTGAGCCTTATGAGAAGAAAGGGCAAACAAACTCATGGCCACTCTTTTGCAATTCACAGAAAGATACAATGGCTCTATTAAATATACCACAACCTTGTTTTGATGTGTGCTAGTATGTATATGTATATAGCTAGTATAGAATAAGCCATATGTCTTTCCTGTGATTGAAAAAGCCACTTGGACAATAAATTAACGGGTCTGTTACACAAATTTGTAGTAAACATGATCCTGTAAATATTTACTCCATGACCTTAATTTAGAAGACAATAATTTATATGTATATTGAACGTTTAGGTAGCTTTTATTCGTAATGATAACATCAATATAACATTGGCGAACCCATATAGATAACTATTATCGAAACTACGAGTTTTAATCTCACAAATTCGTTGCTTAGAGTTTAGGTTTGTGTTGTGGCTCAAACTATAAGATATGTGCAGATATGGTTGATTTTTTTTGGTGGTGGTTTGGTGGCTGGTTAAAAAACTGCCGAAGTCAAAAATAAAAGAGTGTAAGGAATTATTTATCATACGTTTTTATATTATTTAACAAAAATTGTATTAAGGAGGGATCTGGGAGCCGATTACTAGACTATACCTTGCTCAAAGACAACGTTTTTTTTTTATTACATGGAATTCCTTAAAAGTTACCTAAAGTCGTCTTTTATAAATTGAAAGTTATAACTAAAAAATATTTATCAACATCCCTGCATTCTAAATTTCATAAAAATCGTTTATAAATTTTGCCCATTTAAAGGTATTAGAAAATTTAAGATATTTTTTTTGTGTGAAATCCTTGAACACCTTGTTTGAACTTGTATTTACAAATATTGTAAATTTTATGGATATGATATTAGTGTAAATCGTATAATTCTAATTTAAATGTTATATATTATTAAAAATACTAATTTTGGATAGCTTAATCGGCTGGACATGATTTAGTATTTCAAACATCCATTTCTTAGACAGTCTAAATTTTTTACCTTGCGAGGTGAACTCGAGGAAACAAATTTATGACATGAGTTAAATCACGTAATAGTTCATAGTCATAAACATTTTAAAGACGAAGTTCAGATTCGTATAATAGTAATAATAGTCCTGTTTAATATCAAGATTTACTCGTACCAGTACCAATGAACAAAAGACCTTTATGATAGATTACCATAATTAAAAAGGCCATAAGTTTCCAAGCCGAAACTCATTCGAGAAATGGACTTTCGATATATCATACATGGCCGATTCAAACACCTGAACTGTGGTAACCAGAATTCTGATAAAAATACCTAGTTCATCACACATCAACAGCCTAGAACAGTCCACTGCTGGACATAGGCCTCTCCTTAGAAAGGAGGTTTTGGTCTACTACCACGTTGGCCAGACGGGTTGCTACAGGGTTTTTTTCAAGTTTTCCTTCTCTTTGCAGTGCTGTTGTCCTGCGTAATTTGCTTCCTTAGTCGGCTCTTACGACACTCACAGTATGAATAGGGGTGGTAACATTCCGTATTCTTAATCCGTCACCACACGTAATATTACAATCTATTAAAGTAACAGCAACTAAAGTTAAATATTCCTAATTAGCCATAACTGAAATAACAATATATCGATTACAACTTGACTCTAAAAAAAATACCTTGCAATCACCTATAGGTAAACGATCAAGACGAACCACCCTAATAGACTAGGCCAATAAATAATTGTCAAAGATAAAGATTACTCAAGAAATATGCAAGAGGAACTTAAAAGCTGTAATATAAATCTTTTGTCCGCTTTAATTTTATATTGGGCCACAGTCTAAGGTGGGTGGCCGGGTTGGGCACGGTCCCCACATAACAATCGTAGCTATTTGACATTAACGAGCGAACTTCTACCATTAAATGAGATTACTCCGCCAGTTAAAATACTTACAGAAGGAGAAAGGATTTCAGAGGTCTAAAAAATGCTCTCTAATAAATTTTTGGTTGCAACATTTCGTGGTTTTGGTATCATTGGTTTTTGGATGTATTTCTTACTGATAATATTTCTAACATATATTATAGAATAAGATAGCTATAGGATATTACACTCTTACATTAATGGCACTAAAATTAGAGGCGACAATGGTAGGGCATTTATTACGCCCCTGTCTATTCTTTCAGAGATAAAAGACGTAAGTGTATATTTGTATAAATATTTTTTCTCCATTCAGCAAGAACCTTACGGCTGTGGATTGCGCTGCGTCATAGTAAAATCAACCAATTCGCGATGATGTTAATTTTTTTTCTACTATTATAAGATATAAATGAGATGATTTAAAACTAGCTTTTGTTCGCGACTCCACCTGCGTTTATGTCGGTTATCGTGGTAAAAAGTGGACTACGTTACTCGCTGATAATGTAGATTTTCATTGGTGAAAGAATATTAAAATCGGTTAAGTGGTTTAGGAGAAAAAGCGTAACAAACAAAGATTCCAACAAACTTACTTTCACATGTATATAATATATGTAAGTATGGATACTCTTAAATTCTATAAATAAAATGTAGAATATATGATAATAAACACATATATTTCTGCTGTTTGCTTTTGATAAAAATCATTGAAATTTAAAATTGTCACGACAATTATCAGTAATATTTTATTATATAGTACGGTAACTACCTCCTGGGTAAGCAGTGGGGGTAATATTATAACAGGAAACTTGTTAACGATCCTCGAAGCAATCAATTTTCTCCCATTATAACTTTAGCTCGGGTAGAGATAAGATGTTTGATTGTGTGCCTACATTGTCCGCCCAGATTATGAAGGGATACGTCGTTCAATGGAATCACTAATTAGTTTGGCACTATGCTCATTTATAATTACTTCTTTGTATCATCATCATTATCATATCCTCTCTTTCCTTTTTATTTGTATAAGAAATGTAATACAATCAATAAAAAAATTAACAATCAAATATTGACAATCTTATTGGCAGATCTAATCTCGACATCCGAGATTTGCATGAGATTCCACACGTATTCTAACCTCTCATGATACAAATCTCTATAAAATGACAGTTTAGTACGTGGGGCATACTGAAAGTCTCTGGGTTTGGCCACTTACAATAAAATAATGATAAAACAATTAAGGAATTTCGAAAATGGAACTCTTTGGGAATATCTTACTTTTTAAATTGCGAGACTGTCATTTGGTTTTTCATTGTGAAATCCTTTCGAAAATTGTGTGTCGCTATCAAAATGAATTTAATTCGTAAACATTTTTGTTTAATGATTTTTTATGATTTTCATTGTGGCTTGAGTCAAGAAGAGAGTTGCCAGATACTTCAATTGGCATTTAGTGATAAAGCATGACAAGTTCTGTGTATTCGTAGTTTGAAGAATTTGACGTAGACGTGATCATCTCCATGACGAGGTACGTGAAGGTCGGCCGGCAACTGCGGGTACATACTCTATTATTGACAACGTACGACAACTTATTGATACTGACGAAAAAAAATACTTGCCAGCAAATTCGTCCTTTGTTAAGCATTGGAATGAGCCAAGTGCAAAATATTTTATACGTGCACCTGAAGGTTGGGAAGCTTTGCACGCGATGGATACCGCATGACTTAACGAAGGACCAGAAACGACTACGTGTCCAGCGGTGCCGTAAAATGATAAAAAGTTTATAATATCGTAACAGGTGACGAAATCTGGGCGAACTGCTTTGAACCCGACAGAAAAAGCCAGTTGGCAGAGTGGGTCTTTCCTTTTGAAAATTTGCCGACGAAAGTTAAGAAAAGTCGAAGCATTGGCAATCAGGACATTACACTACAGTATTGCTTGAAGGTGAATGCGTTCCATGAAGTTAAGAAAAGTCGTAACATGGTAAAAAAATAGTTGCTTCTTTTTTTGGCAAATCAGGACATTCCACCACAGTGTCGCTTGAAGATCAAAGGACAGTGACTGCAGGTTGCTACGTCAACACTTGCTTGCCCAGAGTCTTAGAAAAAAGTCGCGAAAAGCAATGCCCTTTTTCAATACGATAACACAACCTCACATTCCGCTAAGGTATCAGAAGCCTATTTGAAGGCTTCAAATGTGGAACTGCTGACACATCAGCCTTATAGTCTGAATGTCGCTGCCTGCGACTTCTAGTTGTGTCCTAAAATTAAAGACAAACTTAGAGGCACACGTTTTATGAGCCCTGAAGACATTAAAGAGGTTCCTAACGAAGACTGGTGCAACTGCTTTGTACAGTGGTTCCAGCGAATGCAAAAATACATTAATTGCGAGGGAATATACTTAGGAAAACAATAAATGTATCGTAAGTCTTATATGTAGTCTTATTATCAGAATCCAGAAACTTTATAATACAAGAACTTGTAGCAGATATACTCTTAGCCATCTAAGTGTTACTGTTTTATTAACATGCTGTGATGACCGACTCTGTTACCTGTACTGTTGCCCAACTAGAAATACTCTGCAATTTACTGTTCAACCCTTTTACTACTAGCATGGGAAGAGAGCCTGGCTTAGGCGTACTCACCACGAGCAGAAGGTTCACGTGCGCCAGCAGCGCGGGCACGAAGCGGAACCTCATCGCTTCAGCACCAGCTCCGCACTCGAACAAAAACAACGAAAACCATTTCATACATTCTGCGAGTACTACAGAAACTACTAACTAGAATAATAGTATCGCCAAGCCCCAATGGCACAACAACAGTACAACAAAATTATGTAGGCAGTATTCCTCCTTGACCTGACTGCAATAAATAGAAATGATCAATCATTTTAATTTGCTGACGGTTGATCGTTGAAGTAGTTTTGTGAACTGTGTTTATTTTTAGATCAATCATGTGTATAACGACCATTTGGAATACGTAATACGTAATGGAATAGTAGGTAATACAAAAAGGGGAAAATACTTACGTATATATATAAATATACAAACACAATTGTAAATGTTTATTCATTTGTGCTATGTCCAGCAGTGGACTATTAAAGGCTGTTGATGATGATGATTTATTTAGAGGAAATGCAGAAGGTCCATTCTCGTAATAAAAATCGTTCGCTAATCAGTTCCGATCTACTCTCGATCTCACAAATGTCATAAAATATGTTCTCGTAGTAAAGTACTAAACATGCATCTTGACTGTAATATGGTTATAGTGTATTGTGACCAAAAGTTAAATCGGTATTCTACTAGTACTACGAGAACATATTTTATAACATTTGTGAGATTGACAGTAGATGGGAACTGAATTTTTATTACGAGAATTGACCTTCAGAAAGCCAATAATGATCAACAATATTTGTGTAATTTCAGATGCTGCGACGGGATGGATTTTGTATGGAAGTTTGTCATTGTCCTAGGTAAAACCACGAATGTGTATACAAGTATCCTAAAAATTTTAAAAAGCGTCCCGTAGTAACTGTTCCACACGGATGAAGTCAGGAGCAAAAAGTAGTTCAAATATACTTAGTCAAATAAGTAAACTAGCTGCCAAAACTACCAATGAAATAGGATACTAAAAGGATTTATTCCTAGTTCGGGAGTTGTCTTTAAAAAAGAAATAGATTGCTCTAAGCCTGCCAAAAGGCAGAAAAGATCGACGAGGACTTCCTTTGACATGGTGGACCAGTATGACAAAGCTTCTAAAGAAGGAAAATTTACCCGAGCCGACTACTCTTGACAGAATAACTTGGCGCCGTGAAATAAGAAGAGCCGACCCCAGCTAAAGTTGGCAAGGGCTAGGAAGAAGAAGAACATATGTGTTTACAATAAAGGAAATGTAGAAGTTTATCGGTTAAGCTTATTTTTTTTTTTTGAACATAAAACATCACAGAAGTAACTGTTTTGTTTATTTATTCAAAATTATTTAATTTATAATTCAAGTACTTGTTTACTAAAAAGCTTTAATGTCAAGAAGAAAAAAATAGAAGTCGGAATCTTTTCAGCTCGCTGTTTAATTACTATTTTAAACAGCAAAAGAAACGTATTGAACAAGAAGAATGAACGTAGTCATGATAGGTAGTTGCGTAATTTTGTTAAATTTATGCTTGCAAATTTATCAAAATTTTTAACCGACTTCGAAAAGGATGAAGTTATCAAATCGGATGTTTATATATTTTTTTTATGTATGTTCGAGCATAAATCTGTCATATATGGACAAATTTTCAAAATAATTATTTTGTTCGAAAGGGGTTTATTCCGAAATGGTCCCATTTATGTTTCATATAGATCTGATGTTGAAGTTTCTCGGTTTTTAGTGCTCTTTGTTAGTATTGTTAGAAGTCGATTCAACTTTTTATTAATAAAAAGGATTCATCCTTGTGTGAATATGTGTTTGGGAAATGATGACCATGATAACTGATCAAATCACAGACATCTAAAGTAATTTTTTTAGACTAAGCCTCGTGCAAATACAATAGTATATTTTATCGGTATTAACATTAAGTAAGTAAAATTTGAACGTTTGTCGAGTTTATTGGAAATAAACTGATGCGCGCGGTTTTACTCCACTCAAATATTAGTGTAGTGTAGGACGCCCACAGGCCAGGTGGAGTGACGATTTGCGCAAGATGGCTGGCAGGAGCTGGATGCGAGAAGCCCAAAATCGATCTAATTGGCGTGCAATGGGAGAGGCCTATGTCCAGCAGTGGACTGCGATAAGCTGATGATAAAGTACAATTTCAAATTTTGTAACAATTAATTTTATTGTTATTTCTGTTCTTGTTATTCTTTAAAATACTTAATACCTTAAAATAAAATCATCAACTGAACAACTATTGCATTTAAAAAAAATAAAAAAAAAAAACATTTTCAAAGTTATTTTGCAATAAAAAGTATCTTCTCGACCTCATCCATTCTTACTTTTTAAATGGGTCATTGTGTATGCAATGACCTTCAAGTACCGCCACATTTCATTAAATTCCATCCAGCATCGAAATGAAAACCTTTGTTCAATCGAACGTTAACATTTTCTATTTTTTGCAACACGCGATAGATGGCGTTGTCCCGGTCGGCTGAATCGCGGTGTTAAGATTCTCCGGCCGTAGTATGTAAGCTACACAATAAATAAATTTTATGAGCTCGCATCTAACGGTTGTTTAATTACTCTGTGAAACGTACCTTGAAGCTAGGTAATCTAACATTTTTTTGGTCCATCGGAGCCGGACGGGTTTATTGATCGTCAATAAATCCCCAGCATTTTGATCCGTTGGCTTCTTGGCTAGGCTATTGCCACGCTGGTAATAGTGTACGTTTAAAACGAGAATTGTGTGGTGAAAAACTTGAAGCTAAGGACCCGACATAGCGGAAGTCATCGCTTGGAGTTGCGACGAATAAACGGCAGAGGGCGCTGACAGTAAAATTATTGAAGTTGCGCCAGTGTTGCCAGTGGAGGCCACTGGATTTCCTACTTGGCTGTTGTTGGAGCTTGTGACGTCAAGGAAAGTGATGTGCATACCGGCAGTGACGCGCAAAGAGGTTTGACAGAAACGAAAACTGTAAGTAGTGAACTTTTGACTTTTATTAAATTTGCAAGAATATCAGTGACAAATCTGAACTTAGAAAAATTGCTTTAGTAGAAGATTTTGGGACTTGTAATATTTTAGTTATAATTGTTGTAGTGTTGAATTTAGTTTTAGACTTAGAATAGTTAAGCAAATTTTGTTCATACGGGGAACCTATGCCCGATTTTACCCCGGTGCAAAAGTTGCTAAAACACTTGTAAAATTTTTAGATTTTATCATACACTTGTGATTTTGCTTGTCGTTACAAATTCTATCTTTGAATTTTTTCGCTGTGCTTAGTGTAGACAGCTTGTAACTTAGAAATTTACCATAGATTGTGTACTTTGTTGTGTGGAATTATAAATATTTACAATGAAATCATTACTTAAATTACAATTAAACAATAAAACTATAATTGAAAAGGCTAGAACTAATTTTAAAAAGTCACCAAAAGATCGTATAACACAAACATATTTGCAAACAAGATTAGAATCGTTGGAAGAACAGTGGAAACAATTTGTAATCACACATAGAAATATCATCGAAAAGGCAAATGAGTCAGATTTAGATAACGCGTATTTTTCAAATGAGGTATACGACAATACAGAGGAGTTGTACATATCATATAAATCAGAACTTAAAGAACAAATGAATGTAAGCACCATGAAGAATATAACACCACAAAATCAACAGGCAAAAATGTCGTCAATTGTTAGATTGCCTAAAATTAGTCTACCTACTTTCTCTGGTTCGTACACTGAGTGGACATCATTCAGAGACTTATTTTCGTCTCTTATACACAATAACAACTCATTAGACGATGTACAACGTCTTCATTATTTAAAAACTCATCTGTCAGGAGAAGCGGAACAGCTACTGCGACATAGACCAGTAACGGCCGCTAATTACAACGAATCTTGGTCTATTTTATGTAAACGATACGACAACAAGAAATTTCTATCTCATAGCATGCTAAAGCGATTTGTCAAGCAACCAGCAATTGTAAAGGAGTCTTCAACTTCTATAAAAAATCTTTTAGACACTACTGTCGATTGTTTGCATGGTTTGGGTACTCTAGGCATTGATGTAAGCTCTTGGGATGCAATTGTTATATTTTTGATTTGTGAAAAATTAGACACCGAATCTCGAAAATTGTGGGAATCAAATATCAGTGTTGATGATAATCTACCCACATTTGTTGAGTTTAAGGTTTTTTTGGAATCGAGATTTCGTTCACTAGAATTTTTAGGCACTAAGCCTAATAACCAATCCAAGAGTCAGAATAATAATGTAAATAGCAATGTCAAATCCTTCCATGTCGCTTCTCTAACATGTATCTTATGTTCCGGCGATCATAAATTATGTCACTGTAAACAGTTTGCAAGGCAAGATTGTGAGGCACGTCGTGACTTTGTTCGAACCAATAAATTATGATATAATTGTTTAGGAAAAAATCATTCCGTATATTCTTGCCGTCAATCAACCAAATGCCATCTTTGCAAAAAGAGACACCACACATTACTCCATCCAAAACCAACCGTCGATGCCACTGAACCAGCAAACGGTTCAGGGGAAACGAATGTAGTAGTTGCTACGGCAGCTGCTTCTTCTAACCAATGCGAGTCCACCACTATTTGTTGTTTTGCAGATGTGCACAACCAAGGTTTACTTGCCACAGCCTTGGTCAACGTTGAGTCGAGAACTGGTTCCACTATTGTTTTAAGAGCTCTGATGGATCAGGGCTCTCAGGTCTCTTTCATCACAGAGGCCGCGGTCCAGTTGCTCGGTTTAAAGAAAACACCTGCTCACACCGACATACTGCGACTAGGCGATGATGAGGGGGTTTCTATGCCTTCTAAGTGGGTAGTAAGATTCAAATTGCAGTCACGCCTAGATCCTACTTTTGTTTTGTATGTCGATGCGTATGTATTAAACAGACTCACATCACATCTTCCTGAGAGGAAGATTGTTAATGTGCTGCCGTCGATTTCATCCCTAGAACTTGCAGATCCGTCCTTTGATATGCCGGGTAAGATAGACCTTTTACTGAGTACTCGCGTGGTCGGTGAAGTTCTAGTGGACGGCTTGGTCAAGGGCCCACCTGGAACGCCAGTAGCCCAAAGGACCAAGTTAGGG